TTAGACAAGGGAAAATTTATGATGTATTGAGGAAATTTGTTCAAAGAATTCAGGATTTTTTCTTTTTTTTGGAAATTACAAGATGTAAGGAATGTTATTACTTGAAAAAACTGAAGATAGAATAAGATATTTCCGTTAACAGTCAATAATTATTAAATGTAATAAAGGTGTTATTGATAGTTATTTGATATCAATAACCCGTGACAACCCTTAACCCTTTTACTTTTACTAGATCATTTGTTCATTTTTGATTTATTTTCGAGTATTGATATTTTTTAATGGAACTGTAAGAAATTATGATAATAAATAATGAGTGGACAAAAATATTTCACTGATTAATGAAAAATTGACGGGGACGGTTGATGCTACAAATAAATAGCTAATTAATTTGGAAAATTATTAGTTCCTCTTTTGGAATAAGGAAGTTAAGGCTTCCTTGTACAATTTAACTTTTAAGCTCAGAGTGGATAAGAAATAAATTTTATTTTAGTTTGTAGTTTAAAAAAAAATTTGTAATGATGAGAAAATATAATCTTCCTGGACAGATGAACGAAAAAAAAATTTCACTATAAGCTGAATGAAAGAATTTTCAAATTAATAAATAGGAAAAAAAAATCTATAGAACATACATTCCGCAGTTTTATGATTGCTTAATTTATCTTTGATAGAATCATTCAGAAATATAAACTTCTGGGCATTGATATCAGATCAGCTATCAGAAATTCTATTGGCGGAGCTTCTCGCGTTTGTTTCAAAAATCACAAATGCTAATATGACTAACTAATTGTCTCCAAAAAGAATTAGCGAGGAATTACCAAATAATATGTGACAAGTAGTAAAATATTATTTGACGGAAAGTGCCACATTTTCGTTTTCACTTGTTATTGAAAATGTTTTAACCGAAGTAATTGCTAAAATTTAGATTTTAAATTTTTTCGTTTTTTTGCCAACAATTAGTTATTTTGCCTGTTTTTTAATTTATTTTTGCCTTATTCAATCTTTTGCTAAATTTCGAGATTCAACACATTTTATCATGCTTCTCTTTTGCACTCAAATAAATTAGGCACTTCTGCAACTAATTTCTTTTCATCTCGTCAGTACGTTTCACAATAAGCATGCTAGCCTAATTGCTCAATTCTGTTTAGCCTTCAATAATTGAATTGGCTTATTTAACACTGACAAATAGAATCGCTTTTTTGAAATTATTGTTATAAATTTGAAATTAAAAGATTTTAGAAAATGAGAGCGTTTGGATTGAGTTAATTTGCAATTTTATGATGGAAAAGAAACAAAGAAATTTTATGATATGATATCATGAACGGCATATTTAACAACATTACGTAATACAGTAAATGACAGGAAAAATGATAGCAAAATTAATTAGATTTTGATTAGTATGAATTAAAATAATTCCATATTTCCGCACAACTATTTTCAGATGACATCGAAGCTAATTATAGCCTTGAATAATATTAAGATAATTTTAAGCTCAGTGAGTGGAATGAATAGATTAATTTGTGAAAATTTCGCTTATTGCCTTCAAAACCATTCCATCGGGAATTGGGAATAGTTTTGAAGGCAATAGGCGTAACTTATGAATCTGGTCAATCATTCAAGTTCGTTTCAATCAATTTTTTAGTGATTGCATGAATTGATCGGCTCATAACACATTTAATAATTCGTAATCGAACTTTGGAAGAATTAAAAGTCCTTAAATGAAAAGTATATAGAAATAATTAAATTGGTAACTAAAATTAGAATTTACAGTTAAAACTTTAACACAATATACAAAAGAGGAAAATATGTTGTCAGACTGAAATATTTTAGGTGAATTATGCTTACGTTAGCATAAATATAATAGAAATATATGAAAGATGAAAGAAAAGTGGCTGTCAATAACGATGTAAATTTCTTTTTCAATTTAATATTATTAATAATATTTAGGAAAGAACAATGAATGAATGACCCAATTTGTTCCAATCACAAACATTCTTTGTTTTTCGAGCTATCAGTTCCCGGAGGCATATCATAAAAACAATTATTTTTTGTCTTTAATCAAACCATATAGAAGGGTGTTTTCTTTTTTTTCTTGTTTTTGAAATTGAAATGAAAATTAGGCCAAACGGCAACTGAAATGATAAATTTAAATTGGTTAAGGTCAAAATGAGAGATTATGTGTTGTGTATGTGTATGTAGTAAGATAGGAAAGAAAAGATTGGAATGCTGGTCGATGCAGGTTAACGATCAATTAATCGTTCTTCTCCAGGCTAACAAACAAAGTCGGAAATGTAAATAAACGGGTAAAGATATCAATGAATTGTAAACAAAAACCAATAGTTATGGACAATAAAGAGTCCATTTCGGTCAAATCACATTTCTTTAACTAAATATTTTCACGTCGCCGAATTTATGATATCACCCATTGCTAATCGAAAATGATAGCGGATACAGCTTGCTTGAGATGCAGATTGTCATGAATTCTTCCGAATATCCTCTTCCTCAGTCTAATTGATGATTATTTTGTTTCAGAAGGTTTACAAACAAGATAATTTTACTGATACTATTTAGTTCGAAATATTTCTCTTTTATTGTCTAATTCAGGTGGCAACATTTACCCAATCATCATTTTTATTCCTTTCATATCCAAATTATTAGCCCTTTTGAAAAGGTATTTAGAAAAGAAGAAGGCCTAATCCTACAAATTAACATTTAAAGCAGCAAAAAAGTATTGGATAATAGTACTGATAATTGATAATAGCGCTTTAAATAGCATAAAAGATTTGTCACTATTACATTTGATATGTATTGGATGACATTCAAATGATTTAATTATTGATCATTAGGCGGAATTAGGTTAAGAATAGGCTTAGAACTAAAATCATGTCACTTCTTATTATCCATGAACAGTAAAATTAGATTTATAGATGTTTAAGCCATTTATTTCTCGATTAGAATTAAATGTAAGATTTTGGATTTTCGAGATATTTAATGAATATGTATCATTTTATCAAAAATATCGGGAGGAGATTTACTCTTGAATTTTCGATCTATTTAAGTTATTTAACAGAGATGTCTTATGTATTGTATAATCCTTTAATGATTTGTCTATATTTTCGGTTAATTTTATTTGAAAATTGAAAAAAAAAGACAAGTAACTAAAGATGAAAAGAGCCATTGCTTTTAAACAAATTCGTTTATCAGTAATGAAATATCACGACTGGTAATGGCAATTTAGAGCACATAATTTAGGCCATTGCGATAATGTATATTTTTACATGCAATCTTTAATTTCAACTTAATGCTATTTCAGTATACTTCTGTGAAATATTTAGTCTATTCCATTATTTCCCTATTATCCATGAATTTTCTTCAGCAATTCAACAATCTCAATTTTTTTATAATGAAAAGCTTAAAATTTAAAATTCGACAAAAATTGATTGCTTGCTATGAATTTTTGTTGTAGAAAAATCAGAATATATTCGATGTACAAAAAAAAAAAAACTCATTTTGAATACGAATCTCAATAGCATATACATCATGTCTACATGTTTTTGACAGATTACACGACATCAGTACCCAGGAAAAATCATTTTTCAAGCATTTCTATGAAAATCGAAATTGATGAAAAAAATCCACAGCGACCCTCTCGCTGTTTAACTATAAAATTGGTATTGTCATTGTCAAACCGCAGAACAGTTATCAGTTGACTTAATGAAATTAGAGAAATTCATGAAATTTCCTCAATCGTCCACTATCACTTGCTAATTAAGCGCTGTTAAATATAAAATGATTGAAAAATGGTAGAATTTTAAAAAGATAAAGTGTATTTTAAATTTTGATATACATTGATGTTTGCAAGGAGTGAAAAGTTCCTTTTGTGTAAAATGTTTTCAACACTAAAAGTTTTAGCACCATTAGAAATTATATTCACAATTTCAGGTATTAAATGAAAGATGAAAGGATCGAAGGAAGCAGAGATTCATTATTTCGTGTGATTAATTTTCTATTTTATTCTAAATTCACTTCGTACATTCTGAAAAGAAATATTTAAAGCCTTTAAATCCACTCGATTGATAACTATTGTTTTCAGTCAATGGGATTCCTAAGCAACAAATGATATTATTGACAGCAATTTATTTTAAGTCTAATTGCTTCCGAGAAATTTTTTTTGGATATGAAAGAAAGAATAACATGGATAGAGAGTGCAGTTGATGTTTCAAAATCATCAATTTTTTTCACCTTATAAATTTGAGTTAACAAATTAAACTGCAATTAGATTTAGACAACAATTGATATTCTGCGCTGAACAGCAAGTGAATCGTAGGATTTTAATTTAAATTTATGACTTGCAATAGAGCAAATACTTCAACGAACAGATAATGGTTGAAAAAGCAGCAATTTAACAAGTGTGAAATGTTAGGCAAAGAATTTTTTCAAACTTTTAACAGAAAATCGTAAGAAATATTCTTGTTCCTAAATTCAAGATTTGTTTTACTGTCCCTTTCTCTCAAGCCCTTTTTCTTTTGGTTCTATCTTAATTTGGCTTCTCATCCAAAAAAAAAAATCAAAGCATCAACCATAATAAAAAGTGTTGTGGTAAAACTACTATAACGCAAAAAAAGAGAGATCTGCTGAACAACCATACTGAAAAGCAGAGATCTGCTAACAACTATACTGAAAAGTACTTTATATACATAAACAAAATCACAATTTTCAAAAAGTATTCATTCATAAAATTTCAAATAACTTTTAAAAGACAACATTTAAAATTCCATCGGCTCAAACTGAAAAAACAACGTAGTTTTTTCCAATACCACTAACTGTGCATTGAGCTTTATGATAGGCCAGTAATATGGGAACCGTATTATTCTCCTTAAATCAATTCCTCTGAAAAAGTAATTTTATTTAGTAAAAACTTTTTTAAAGCATTAAAAATATTTTACAGTTTTAGATATGTTACTGCAAATTACTGATACACTTTTAAGCTTGAACAAACCTGAAAATCTCAGTTGCAAATGAAATAATAAACAGTTGTGAAATGCTAAATTTACTATCAAAACTTCAAAATTTGAAAGATTAGAATCTTAAGCGACAAATTAATGTACACAATAGAAAAAATTACTGGAATGCTTTAACATCAAATAAAATACGATGAGTAGAAGAGAAGTTTCGTGCGGCAAAGTCGATGATATTAGGTTCTGTGTACGAACCAATCAACAAATAGTCGAATTCTTCAAGTTGCGATAATCCCAAATTTTCGGTTTTATTATACCTACATATTCAACAAAATAATTTGTTAATGCCCAGAACACAATGTTTCAAGTCAACTTATACTTCTTATTTAATCCTGATTTCAAAATTTTACAAAAATACATGATCTTTTACTATCACACCTTAATTTTTTGAAACATAGAAAGGAAGGGAGAGAATTATCTCAAACTTCTTACGTTACGGAAATATGCAAGTCCGTAATAATTGTTTTGATCTTTGTGTATAAAACTGATTCTCTTTTATCCACAAACCATCTTCCTAATACACATACCTTTCTTCATTTTGGTACCAACAAATTCAACAAATTCAATACATTTATTTAACTACTTACTGCCAAGTATCATACAACTCCAAGAATCGACTAACACCAGTTTGAGCAGCGTAATTATCAATGTAGACAGTCATAGGGTTATTTTGATTGAAATACCGCAAATACTGAAAAAAACTTGGGATCTTCAACAATACGGAGTATTTTAAAAACAGTTTTCATAAAACTTTTTCGACTTATGCATGTCACCTCTTCGATGAGCCGATCTTCTTTCATTTCTAAAACTTTTATGTTGTACGCGACTTCAGCAGCATTGGATAAAAAAACAATACTCCGGAACTCAATATAAAGAAACCACGCTCAAAAAATTATAGGCAACAGTACCTGAAGAGAATTGAGTGCTTCACCACCAGGATAATTTTTAGAACTCGCAAGTAGAAAAATGGAAGTACCGATAACGTTAATGATCAAATGTAATATTACTCCAATGGCCATTAACATTCGAAACATTGATTTCCAGCGATTGATCCAAATAAAAAACAAAAATTCATATCCATAATAAAACTTATAGAAAATTAATAAGAGCGTAATTAACAAAATCTTCCATGTTTATTATAAAAATTTATGCTTTTCAAAATGTACATCATAAACTTTCCTTATTTCGGAACAATTGAAAATTTTTTTCAGTTTCTTCATAATTACTTTCATTTCAAAATAAAAAAAAAGCGACAAATTCTTTTTGTAATTTAGAAATTAAATAATTTACATTCTTGCACAGAACACTGCTGATGAGACATTTAAAAACGGTAATGTATAGATGATGAATCGAAGTTCTTTATGAGGAAGAAAGGAATACAAGAAGATGTAGCATATAACAGGTATTAGAATTGGTAGTAAACGACGATCTGAAAACAACATATTTTGGATACCAAATGTATGCACAACTGACAAAATACTTTATGTTCATATTAAACGACGAATTTTGAATAATTGAGTATTAACACTGTTGGAGGTTTCGGTCTGCTCTTCACCTAGTTTTTGATATATAACTGAAAAGAATGGAGAAGATTTTGATTACCTACCAATGAACGCACCTAAAGGCACAAGAGGAGTTGAAGCAATCATTGCTCGCGGAATCGCGGAATAAAAATACCAGAAGTAGGGTAGAACCTGCAAAGAACAATAGATTAATGAATTCTTGTCAAAGGAAGTAATTCTTTAAAAATAAATAAATTGTTTTAAATTTCAAGATTTTTTGAATCCAAGAGTTCTTCACTTCCGATTTTCGATTTTATTTATTTCAGATTTTAGTAATTCTTTTTTAATAAAAAAACTATTATTGTAAATAGGAAAGTTGAAATTTACACCATATTCGTGACTTCTGTTCAATATTACATTGAACCACCATACTTCACCTTCAGGCCATACCCATCGTCGCCATAAGAAAGAATCTATTGGCACAGATATACCTAAATAATGGATATTCTGGCAAGCATTAAGCAGAAATTTCGACAACTTTACTTTCATATATATATATATATATATATATATATGACTAACCTAGAATGAGCAGAGCAGTACATAAGCAATGAACAACTGCACCATTCCAACCGGAGAGAGATAGCTGGTGCGTTAAAATAGGCCACATGAAAATGCAACCATAAAACAATATCAGTTCACATCGAAACAGCAGCGTGAAAACCGTAGCAATTCGTGCTGCACATAACCAGCGTCCATCCAAAATTTTCTGGTAGGTCCAAAGTACTGCAGTTAGTAAATCATAAAAATGAAACAAAAGAGCGGAAAAAGAATGAAGCGATTAATTATTTTAATTGGGCTTAAATATTTAATTAAGCATAAAAATTGAATGATGGAAAAACTCTTACCCCCAAGTAAGGCAAACGTATTTGGAAGAGGCCTAGAACAATAGAACATAAAATGGAATTGTGTCGCTATATTTAATCTGAAAGTTTCCTTCCAATTTATAAAAAATTGAAACTTGTTAAATAAGCAATACAATTAAGAGAACTGACTTCGTTTTTGACAATTGTTTTCTGCATCTCTACAAATAAAAAAAACTATTGAATATCTATCTGTAAATAATGGCTTGATGAACTCCAAGATAAACTAATACACCAAATTATATTACATTCCATCCAATCACAATCCATGTTACTGGTAACAAATTTATTAACCGACGTAGCCAATAAGTTTGCTATTAAAAATTATCAAATTTCGCATTCTAAATCGAAATGTCAAATAAAACAAAAGTACCTCAGAAAGTCTCCCGATAATTCTCCAAACTCTTTGTCAATTCGTTCAGCAAAATGATTAAATGCGAATAAAATTATTAGACCGAGTACAATTCTGACTATAATATGCTTCTTTTGAAAAACTGTAGTGTTTGTGAAGATATTACAAAAGTTTGAAACGCTGAACTGTAAGTTATCACTTATAACTGAATATTACAATTCATTTAATAACTTGAAATATTAAAAAAAATAAAAGCTTGAAACAAACCGCCGTACAAAGCCCAGTACTTTTCAATATTATTCTGCTTAAAATAACTGACTACAGGAAAAAGTGGAGCACTAATTACCATAGCACCGATAAAAGTACGTGGTACCACTCCAGGAAACTCGTGATGATCATACTGGAATTGCAAAATGCAGAATACTAATAATAAAAATCTAACAAAGAGTTAGATCTTCAAAAGCAATCACAAACATCATTTATATAACGATATTTTTTTAAAGTAATTCGAAACATGAAAAACGATTACTTCGATGAAGTAATTATAATTGTTCTTATATCACCAATTATCTCAGAGTGATATAGAAGAACTTGTTCATATTGAAATGAGTTAATGTTAAAAAAAATAAAGCTTACTCCAAAAAAGAATCAATATAAATAAAGCTTTATTGCACGATTCAACTACTTATCACATAATAGTTACTATTTACAGACTTCATGTAAATTTCGAGAATAATGTTCAAAAAATTTATGACAACATACCTCGGTAAAGTTCAACTGATGATACAAGATATCATGGACAGCTTGTACATTGAAGCTTTCTTCAACTTTTGTATAGGGTGCCATCATCACATGTAGCATGCACACCCCTGTTAAAAGCCATTCCGAAAACCGTTTGCTTATACTCATTGCTTACAACCGAAGACTAAATTCTTAAGAAAATTTTTAAATTCCAAAACATTCAAAGTTAAATATGAAATTTTAAATTCAAGCAAATTAAGTAGAGGTACGGATGATACTGAAATGCATCTTAAAGAACATAAGAATTGTACAAATTTTTTCATTAACTTCAAACAGGTAGCAAAAAAGGAAAACACAATTATGGAAAAAGACAACAATAACACAGTGTTCCATTTTGAATCGTTTTCTGAGATTTCTAAACAATGGAATGAAAACTTTTTTTTCATATTTCATTTGATAACAATTTAATCGAAAAGACGATTCAAAATTAATCAACAACGTCCAGTTAATCAACAACTTAAGATCCTGAGATCAAAAAAAAAATCAAAAATATTATAGAAGTCAGTCAGTCTGCAACCAAGAAAAAATATGGGAAGAAAATCTTAGAGAAAAGAAAGAACAATCGATCTCCATTATTAAATTTAAAACACATAGTGCAGAAAATTAAGCAAAATAAATATTTAACTTATCAGTTTAACACAGGAACATTAGTGTTCCAATACAACTTTCCTTACACAAATACTACATATTCTATACAATGATGTTTAATCAAAATGCTTCTAATCTTTTAATTAAAGCTCCTAATTTTGAAATTTCCTTAACCATACCATTCACCACTGTATTCGCCTGCAATAAATAACGAAAGCGAATAAAACTATGATAGCAAAATAATTACTGTAACAAAGATTAAGCGATGTAAAGCCTTACAACGCTAGCAAACTATCTAAATCATGAAATGCTAGATGAGACCATCGATTAACTATAAGTGAAATTTCCGGAAGATATGATGCAAAAGAGAGTGGAGAGTGAACTAAGTAAACTATTATACACCACTGATACAGAAAAAGTAAAATTTTGGGATATCGAAATCTAAAAAACCATGTAAAATTATATAAGTTTCAAAAACTAGGAAAGATATAACTAAATTTGCAAATTATTGGATTTACATGACCTACGTTGTTTATTTTCACGGCTTACCTGAGAGATTTTCCGTTGATGTCTTTCTACCAAATCATCTCTGACTGCAGTTCTAGCTAATTTTTTATGCTTGTCAATTTGATGTAAAAACTGTTCTTTCCTTTTTTCCGCCTTCTGCAATCGCCTCATTAATTCTTTCTTGACTAAGGAACCATAATTATCCTGCAAAATAACATTCACAATCTTACTGCAAAAAATATTATTTGAGAACTATTTCTTACAACAGTCACCTTTAATTAAAGAGATTTTAAAAACTGTCAGAATTTGATTTTTTATTTCATAATTGTCAGGAGCTCTATTTCACGTACCCCAATGAAAACATGAATTTCAGCTGAATAACCAGGCACAGGAAAAGGCAGACTACAATTATTGTTTTCTGCAACTGTTGACGAGAACGCGACGTTACAGAGTTCCTGAATAATGAACTGGAAATTTTTCAGATCGCAGTTTCCTCCACAGCAAGCTACTAAAAATGAGTAAAATATGAACTTTATATTCCACGTAAAATAGATTAACAATTTGCCAATATTATTGTTAAAGCCTAACTGAATAAGGGAAATAATTATGGAGCAAACATGATATTTTAAAAATAATACCTTTTAAAGTATTTTTTGCTGAAATTCGAAACTGTACCCGGATAGACCTTATAGCTTTAATCACTTCTAGCACAAAGGACATATCTTCTTCAAGTTTTTTATCAATCAAACAAGGCTTCAAATCCTGAAAATTGAAGTTTCTTAACGAAACAGGCCAAAAATTATGAAAGAATTGCTTGGGAGAACAAATAAACAAATAAATAAATGATAAAAATAAGACAAAAGTAAATAAAATTACCATCTTTGAGCTAAAGACAGAAATATTGCTTTCTTTCTCTCGTTTGATGTGATCAAAAAGATACTGGCTTACAAAAGGCATAAAAATCGAAAGATGAATTAACGATTTTTCAATAACATAATGCAAAACTTCAGCAACTACTCTCAGCCTTGGGTAATCTTTTGACCATAATGCTTTCTTTGTCGTCTCCTGAATAATACTGTTGACAAAAAGATCTGTACTTCCTTCAGTTAACAATCATTAGTTTTTTGAACATTTGAAACTTTGAAGAAATCGAACAAGCAATATAAAAGATATTTTGAAGTTTCTGCAACTCAAATTTAACATAAATACATTTTAACAAAAATTAAAAAGAAACTCACGATATAAACATCACATAAATCATTGTATAGAAATTTGTGTAATGCACTGAGCGCTAAGTGAGGACAATCTGACTCCATTTTTTTTGACATTATCATTAAAGAACTTTCCAAACGGCTCCTTATCCAGGAATCCTGAAAATATGCGGAAGTGATATGAGTTTTATAATCGATGACATTTGAATGAAATTTTGCATTGCATTAATTTCTCTTACGAATCACTCTTCTCTAAAGTCACTCTTCTTCGAAAATATTTAAGAAGAAGTTAAATTACCTATTCCGTGCTGTCTTCTTCCTTCTTCTATCATAGCAGAGAATTTTTAATACGATTACAGTGTTAGATGTAAAAATTAAGCAAGAAATAACTAACTTCAATACGATCGCCAGAAGCTTTATCAGAAACTTCGCAACAATTTCGCCATATTTCATCAGCATATATGCAAAGATTCCACAGCTTATTACAAAATCTGAATTACTTAGTATTTCAGTGAAATTTCTAATTGATGGAATACTAAATCTAAATCTGCAAACAAATATTAGATACGTGATAAAATGAACTTGATTTCTCACTTTAAACCTTCCACAGCTGTTTGTATAACATCAATATTGATATTCACGGTACCAACATCATGACGGAGTAAAGCAAAACGTAAAGCATCAGGACCACATCGAGGAATTCCTTCCGGGAATCGAGATTTCAGCAAATCTGCTGCTATTTCTAAATTTTCTTGAATTGTTATGATATCAGTAAAATAAATGCTGTCATTGCTGTTTTTAGACTTCTCATTATCAAAGGAAGTAATAATTACAACATAAAAATAAGAATAACAGATTATCTTAAAATCTTCATGAGGTAAGCTCACTTTTTTCTGCTTTCGACAAAGTACTTTTATCAAGACGTTCCAACATTTTTTGAACTGAAATACCATCAATAATATCCATTGGATCGATTACGTTTCCCAACGATTTACTCATTTTTTTTCCTTTTTCATCATTCACCAAACCGTGTAACACAATTTTTGGAAAAGGTAAGTAACCCGTTAAACTGAAAATTATTTTGTGATAAGTATCAGACATAAATAATGAAAGTAATTTAACCATATCGGCAGTAATAAAACAAATGAAAAAAGTTTTCAGAAATGAAACGGAATTCTGAGGTTAATGATTCTACAATGTTTCACAAAAGAAAACCTATGACAAACAGCAACCATTCGTGCTACCCAAAATCCAACAATGTCGTATCCAGTTTCCAACACAGATAATGGAATGCGATCAATTCGTTTTTTCGGCCAACCTGTAAATGCATAGTGTTTCCATTCGCTGGAATTTACAAACTATTGATAAACATGCGACCGCAAATCATGAGGAATTTCACATCTATTAAGTCTATTAAATGTTTACCAAGCAAAATGATAGGGATAAGTGACGAACAAAACCATGTGTCCAAAACGTCTTTATCCTGTTTCAAATCCATTTTGGTGTTTGTCCCTTTACAAAGGCGCAAAGCTTCAACCTCATTTAGGGCCACAATCCAGTCGCTGAATAATAACCTTTTTAGAAACTTAATGAAAACGGTAATCATAATATGGTAATACAATATAATGTATATTTTCAATTTTGATCAAACCTATTGGAGTCAGGACGAAATGCTGGTATTCGCTGACCCCAATCAAGTTGTCTGCTCAGACACCAGGGTTCCTTATTATTTAACCAATTTTCCAGATGTATTTGCATGTATTTCGGAGTTACAGTAAGCTGCAACAGAAAGAAAGAAAATTAAGAATTCATCTGAAAAAGCAGAAAAAAAATTTTTAAATCAGTACACTGGAAATTGTTAAGTATTAAAATTTATTAATTTAGAACGTTGAAGTCAAACTGTGAACAAATGACATACCAAACCCTGTTCAATAGCTCTAAGTGCCGCATCATTCATACTAGTACAATCCATGAACCACTGCTTCTTAATCATTGGTTCGATAATATCACCAGTTCGATTACAGATCCTCAGTTGTTGTTCATTATATGGCACAGCTCCACCATATTTATCACATGCAATCAGTTTTTCTACTACCTAAATTTGAATTTTGATATAACTTATGTTTTTCTTAGATCTAGTGGTGTTTATTATAAATTAGAATTACTTTATTCCTAGCTTCAAACCGATCCACTCCATTCAAATCGGCTGCATTTATGAGACAACCAAATTCATCGATGCAAGATCGGTTGAAGTCCTCAACGGATAACTGATTTGCATGCTTTCTAGCAATAGCAAAGTCAGTAAAATCGTGTGCCGGTGTTATTTTCAAAACTCCTAAAAAAAATGAATCATAGCAAAATTTAGTCAAAAGAAATTTTTGAAAAAACAAAGAGAATGATTAGGAACTCCATAAATTTAGACCAAAAATAAGAGCTGCTTTATTTTAAATATTTTTCAAAATCACCAACCTGTACCCTTATCAACTTGAACTGCTGTATCAGCTAAAATAGGTAACGTACGATCTGGAAGCAAAGGATGCCGAACACGCAAGCCAATATACTTCACATAACGTTCATCATTCGGATTAACAGCTAATGCACAGTCAGCAAACAACGTTTCTGGTCGTGTTGTTCCTACTTCTAAATAATTACTGCCAGATGAGCTGAAAAAAGACAGTTATTTTTCCGATATCAGTTAGGAAGTTTCGAAATTTATTTTATTTTATAAAATCCAACTAATAACGATAAGAATGAAAGCAATAATACATTGAAATATAAAGTGAAAATCGACCTGTTTGTGTTTAAAAATTCATAACGAATTCGATGCATAACACCTACTTCGACACATTTCCCTTCTAAACCAGATTTATTCAATAAGAAATAATCATTTTTCCCGATATCTACAATATCAACCTCCTAAAAATATTTATGTATACAATTACATTTATTTATATATGATATTATGTATATACATAATATCGCTTATCCTATTTAAAGTTGTTTTCTTAAATTGCACTAGTCGGAGATCAGTTGCAAAGCGATGTAAAAGCGTACTTGATCGGAAATAGTGCTCCTTAATGTCGGACACCAATTCACCATTCTCAAATCATTAAATATCAAACCGTCTCTGTATAATTGACAAAATGCAACTGTAACTGCTTCAGAAAATCTCTAAAAATAGAAAATATCAATTAAATCAAAAATCTGGCTTCAAAATTCACACACATTAGAATGACTATTTAATTTAAAGTTGCATACCAAATTGTTTCCTTATTCGAATTTTAACAAACAACGTCATACTTTCAACAGTAGCATTTCAATGAATCTTTTATACCTAAATAATCTCTAAATAATCGAGTAATCTTTTAACTTGCAACCGACTTTTTGCATAATCCAAATAAGGTAAAATTACTTATCAAATCAGAATGAAAGGCAAAAAACCCACCTACATCGTCTAATGTATAATACATATTATTCCAATCAAGTGTTGCACCAAGAGCTTTCAACTGCTTCGTAATATCGACCACGCGTCTAAAACATAAAATCACATTATGAGGAAACTTACAAGTCTTTAGCGCCTATAACCAACAAAATAATCGTTTAAAAATCCTACTCGTTCTTCCACTGCTGACATAATTCCAAGAAATCATGCTGTGTTATCTGATGCCTCCGTAATTTTTTCTCATTCCACAACATTCGTTCAACAATAACCTGTGTAGCGATCCCTGCATGATCAAATCCAGGGTACCATGTTACCTAAAATTCTGTAGTGAAAGTAACTAATACACAGACTTGTTTGTAACAAACTTAATCGAAATTCCAGAATTTTGATGCGAATATTCATTTCAGATCTAATCAATTTACAACTCAATTATTTAAGACATGCCTGATGTCCCTGAAGACGTCGATATCGGCACATGGCATCTTCTATAGTTACTGTTAGGGCGTGGCCGAGGTGAAGGTTACCGGTAACATTTGGGGGCGGTAGAATTATCCTTAAATTACAAACATGAAATTTAAAAACTTGGTAAAATCTCATCTGCCAAGTTACGAAATTCAGAAGTAAACTCAACTCTAATGGAAGAAATATTATGCAACAGTAAGCTTCAAACTTACCGATAAGTTTTAGGATCCGATTGTTTTGGTTGTATTGCTGCAGCACGTTCCATCCATTTTTCATGACTCCTTATTACAGCATCTATGTTGAAAGTGTACCTGATATATGAAGCTACTTTTTGCAATTCCTTTAATTTTTCGAAGGAAAAGTTTTAAAATGACTTTCTTTTGTCAACTAAAAGATTAAGAATTCGAGTAATGAAAAACTTGTACTAATAAAATTCAGTTCATTTATACAGCATAATTAATGTGACCTAACAACCGAAATGAATTGAATTTGAAGAGAAATGACTCAATAACCTTTTGCTGTTCTGAACGGATGTGTGCTTGCGAGAACAATATGGATACTTCCTCAAGTGTAAGCAAGTATTTCGCAGATGAATCATTGCCACTTTATTTTTATCTAATAAATGAGCGATAAGTCATAGCAAGAAAATAAATGAAAATATTGAGTCATGACTGAATTAAGTTATTCACATTATCAGAATCCAAACGCCCGTCAAAATTCAAAAGTGAAGAATTATATGACAACTACCGGAATAATTATAAATAGGACTTTCGAGACAGTGCAGGTTGTCAGTTGTCAATATATCTATCTTTTACAAAAGACTTTTTTAAAAAATGATTAACTCAACAAATCCATAGATCCCCAAGTTAAAAAATTAATTGCAATAATCAAAAACTGGCCTTCATTCATGATAACCCTCCAGTGCTGTGATGATTAAATCACGATTAAATAATTATCAATATTGCAAACGTTGTACTTTAATATTTCAGTATTCTACACAAATATGTATGCATCCAACATCTGTTTAGTATAAGTTGAGGAATTATTTTTATTAATTTGAAGCACTCACATCTATACAACATAAAATGAAAAACGAAAAAGCAATAACAAAAAATATCCTTACACCCTTATGCATCTGTGGAATTAAAACAATATCATAATTATTTAATTATATAAATACACCTGAAACAATTCCTTGTAAGGATATTAGATATTAGAAAATATCACATATGCAATTGACATTTTCTAATAAATTCTCAACCATTTTTTGTCTGATTTCATGCTAAAATTTTAGCACGAAAGATATTAAGGTAAGTAATTTACGAAAGGTATCTAATTTCAAAACTTACCGAATCACTCTAATTCTAGTTAATTCAAAATTAAAAGAGTTCAATTGCTAAAGTCCTTAATCACATTCAAAAGATTATACCTCACTTGCAATGCAGTAGCACCAGTAAATGTACTTCTCTGAAAGATTCAAGAACAAAAACAAAGATATCATCGCAGTACTACACCATAATTTTCAACCATTTTTTGTCTGATTTTCAAGTGAATTTTATTCACCGCCTCTTTCGTAAGAGCTTCTTCATGACTTCGGTATACCAAACGATAGGTTTGACTTGTTTTCTTTGTTTCTGGGTGCTCGAATGTGTCGGTTATTTTAACCTAAAGAGAGCACTGAAAGTATCTACATGAGTTTCTACACGAGCAGAAATATACACTCAGAAAACTGAAATAAAGGCTAATAATTAAGAATTTCTATTACTAATATTTACCAGACATACTTATATATTTTACCTGCTCAATAAGTTGGTCACCTATGGAACGTATTAAATCGCAAGTTTCAGCAGCCATCTCCTTAGGACCAACACCTTCTGGAAGCCAAAATGACAGATCATAGAATACTTGCGGATGAATACTAATAGGCACATATTTGAAATTTTCATTGGGAGATTTCCCAGAAAACTGTGTTAAGAATCCTGAATCGCGACTCCAAAATAACCGGATATCCGGAATTCCGTATAAAATCTGTAAGGAATGAAACCTGCATCCTAGCAAAAATATAGTTTAAAAAAACTAAAAAGTAAGCAAAACAAAAATAAATTGTATGCTATATATTAAAATCAAAAAAGTGAAAGCTGCTCAGTCACTCACAAAAAGTATTCCATAAAAATATGAATGATTTACCATAGCAAGTCTTTCGAGGCCCAGGCCAAATGCCCAACCGACTTTATCTACAATTCCAGCCATTCTCAAAAGATCCTGTTCCATAATACCACAACCGAGAACTTCTATCCATCTATTTTGATAATACATTTCAAGTTCAAATGATGGATGTGTGAATGGGAAATCCGCATTAACCCATCTCATGTCATAATTAGTGCCGAATATATGATGACAGAGAGTCTCCAAAGTTGCCTTAAATGCATTATCATAAATGCCCATGAACAAGTGAAGCACGATCTGTTTCAATGATTTCACCTTAAAATTAAAACTCACTAGAAGAAGTGAAATATTCTTTGTAATATTAACACTAAAACCTTCAAATCTTTGATCAAACATTCTGCGACATCCGTTGTATGTTGTCCCTGCTTTTTTTCAGTTCTTTTATCCTTCGCAAAAAGTGGTTTCTGAAGTTTTATGTGTTGAAATATTTATTTTTCCGTTATAAAAAAAGTTGTTTGAGATAGGCAGTTTTTTCAAGCACAGAAGACTTCTTGACTGGAGAGAGGATAAAGATTTTAACTGAACTACAAATTCTGCAATATATATTCCAAAAAAAAAAACAGCAATAACATTTTACCGGATCTCGATTTAGTGAATCGTCAAAAAGCTCAGCAGAAGTCAACAGGCGCACACCTTCTACCTGATGAAAACATGGAAAATGAAGGCTATCGATCGCATCACGTCGATACACATCACCGATCACAAGAAAGTTATCCAGGCCTAAAATCTGAACTGGACCCTTAATGAAGAGATAATGTTCGCAAGAATTAAATTCGATCAGTTAAAATGAAAGAGAAAAAATTTTATACGGAAGAGTGAAAGAAAGATTAAAATATCCTATTTTTTTCAATTAAACTTGAAAGAATTAAAAGAAAGAAAAAAATTAAGACAAACCTTGCCTGATCAAAGAATGCTGATGTGCAGATGTATGTGCTCTTAAGCAGTAATCTTTGTTAATGTAATAAGTATCTTGAACACTCCGACTGATATGATTTGTAGGTACAAGCAAGGAATCAAAATTATCAAATACAGAAACTACTCGTGGTTGATTATCAATCACCGCAAACTGCGGAGACATTCCACCTAAAACTTTGTATTATTAGTAACAAAAAATCAGTTAATGATTAATTCTTTGGTAATTGCTCTGTCCATCTTCTTGTTGCTTACTGTGTAAAGAATACACATCGACTATGGACTTAACTTTTGTCATTGTACTAATCATTCTCTTAAATCTTAGAAATCTTTCATTACTGACCGAAATATCTGTAACTCTACCTCTCACTTGATATTTCCCGTAAATAAAATTGACGATGCGTTGTTTCAGTAAACAGAGTGGATTGTCAACTTCAAGAAGCAAACGTCTCTGCAATGTTCGCAATACGGCTGGCGATAAATTCCATTTTTCATCAGGCGATAATAATAATCCTAAAAATACAGTCATAATATATTAATTTTCTCCGCCAGATAAAAGATTAAATGTCTATTTTTATTTTCACTTCAAATAAATTCGGTACTAGTAAGATTCACCCATTGGAAGTTTAACGAATACATTTTTAACTCTAAGACTCGAAAAACTTAAAGAACTGTGGAGAATTTTGAAATCAGTATTTGAAAAAGTAAAATTTACCATCAAGTTCGAAAGTTTGCGGTGGTGCAGACTGTAATTTGCCCATTCTCGACAGCCGGGAACAAGTGAAACTTCGTTTACAGAAATGCGACAGATATACCGATTTCAAGCCCATTTTCTGCAGAAATACCTGAAATTAAACTTTCAAAAAGAGGGCATTATTCGGTTAGCATAATAATATTAGGAAAAAAGAGCTCATCAAATTCAATGGATTGCGGTATATCCGAAGTAAAATAGCAAAATAAGATTTCTTCCACACATCGATACAGACAACATAACGCAGAAGAAATGTTCATAAATGCAATGTCTCACGTAGCCTCACTCCAACCAAAAGTAATTCCCGGTAACTAGCAGGACCATTAATCCAAGAAACGACATGAAACGAAATGCAACGTGAACCAAATCATAATTCCGCGAAGCATTTTGTGAAACGACGTGATTAAATAGTTCTCACTGTAATGTTTATTTTCTAACAGATTTTCGTGAAACAATCTATAAATCCCATAAGATATCTGTCCCACGATTTACGTAACTTACGTGAGAGTCGCAGATATTTGTTCTACAAATCACATTTCTAACATGATTCTTTTTAACAAAGAGAGACGAATCTTTGTCATACTACGCACTCCTGCTAACAAGTGTTATTTCTGCAAGTCCAGTTTCTCTATCCCACTCTTCATTGAATGCAAATCAATAAATAGTGTATATATAAGGAAGTAGTGGTTACTGGGTGTTCATTCCGATGAACATATACTAAAATTGGAACAATACAGAGAAGATTAGCATGGCCCCTGCGCAAGGATGACACGCAAATTCGTGAAGCGTTCCAAATTTTTCGCCTTTTTCGGAATGTAAAATAGTGAACGATGTTAAATCTGTTGAAGTACTTTCGAGTAAATATTCATCCCATAATTAAATTGAAGTGGAAAAGGGTTTTCTCAAAACTGTTACAAAATAAATGCTTTTCGCATTTATTTTGTAACAGTTTCGATAAATTCCTACAGCAATGCTAGACATTTCTTAGTGCTTAAACCTTAGTATAACTTATTTAATTACGAATATTTGCCATTGATGGTTCTGCTCAATTAAGATTAATCCAGCGGATATTTCTTTGTTTAGAAATGCATTTGAAATCTTCAAGAATTAAAATATTTTAGATAAAAATTAATTTCATATTTATTTTCTCTAAGAGCGACAGCTAATGGAGGGTAAACATGCATCATACGATTCCATGTTTTAAACTTAAATATTACAACACTCCTCCATTTGCAGAATCTCATGTCTCAAACATTTGCATATTTCGTTGCATAAATTTAAATTCAAAATATTGCGAGTTCTCTTCATTTTCATAACTGACCTAACGTTTTGTAGAGTTTCGTGCCTTATATTTATCAGCTCCATTTGCTTCCACTGTTGATAGTGCAACCGATCAGGTGGACGTTTTTAAATGATGAGTGCTTCCTCATGGGAGATACAGGAGGATCGTTTTGATGACGTTGACTCGGAAACTGACGAAAAATCTGTCTATGAAGATGATGTCTACATTGATGGTTAGTTATATATTAGATCAATTTTGCGAACTGACTAAATATGTAAATTGGTGAAATGATTCACAACACAAGCTTACTACGGGTGTATGGTTACTTACATTTAAAATAAAGTAGCTAAATTATCAATAGTTGCGGTCATCCATAATTCAGTAACTGTATTTTAAAAACCTGCTCCTCTTAAAGATATATCCGCAAGCGAAAAATCCAAAGTTTTTACTGCTTTATTTGTGAATATAATAAGTCATGTCTAATAATCGATATTTTAGACCATTCATTTGTGGAGCGTGAAAAATTGAATGAAATAACAAAAATTACTAATCACTTGCCATCGAGGTTGTCGACTATAGCGGAGGAATCAAATATTGTGACAGAAGGTTACGTATTATTTTGTGAGATTACTGTTTTCAAAATCCTCTGAACAGTTGTATTGCTACAATGTAAACAGTTTCACCAGCGAATATTTTTGATAATTTCTATAGTTTCAGAAGTTAGTTTTAGTCTTATTTTTTATATTGTTTAATATCTAGGTAACATATTCTTTCATGTTTAACTGCTTTAAGGAAACGAAATTGGCGCACAAAAAGATATATATGTTGACTCAGTATTTGAATCTGGTTTGAGAAGAGAACTAAGTGGTGAAAATGTGAGTGTAATCGATGGAAGTCCGCTATTCAAAGGTGGAGGAGAAAGCGAGTATTATTATCTTGATTACAAACTTTTATTCATAATAAAATTCTTCACATTTTCTGGGAAAGATTTATTTTAGAAACATTATTAAGAAGCCGCCATTTCTCTAATTATTCATACTCATTCATTTGTCATTATCAGATTCAGGATTATATAGAACTTAATTTTTTCTCCTCAAATTATTAAGAAGAAAACAATTAAGTTGCATTAGGATTTAGGTCAAAATGTCTACTATCAACAGGCAAATTTGATTGTGTTCTTATTCTTACCGAAATAATTCCCACCCGATGTTTTCCATTACATTAATAATTAAATTCACACAGTCGCGAATTCATTCGCTTATCGATTTTCCGTTTTAGTAACTTAACTTTATGAAGTTATCATATTTGATCTTCACTTTTCTCTAGATCATTGAAAAGTGATCAAAAGTCATCTTTTATACAAGAAAAAAAAAATAAAATTTAACTTATTAAATTTGGTTTTCATTTTTCTTTAGGCATTGAAAGGCTGCAGCGTGATCAAGAGTCATTTTATAAGCACAAGCATCTAGCAAAAGATGACTTCCGCTTCAATCAATCAAATCTGGAAAAAGAAAATAATTGGGAGCCATCAATTCATCATTCTCCTCCACCAACACCAAAAATCTGCGTCGATCAACTTGCTGCTTTTAGTATGTCTTCTTCATAAATAGATATAAAGTCCTAATAATTGCAGCACTTCTTTTTATTAGAATTCGTAGGGATTTTGTTGCAAATTTTGACTTCATAATCATCGCAACGCAGAATCTGTAAGTATAGTAGCAGTTTTACTCTTATTTCAATTTTTCTTCAACTTAAAGCATTTAAACTTCTTTGTGCATAGAGAAAATATTTCTTTAATCAATTGAAAAGAAAAATGTGGATTTCCATTTTTCAGGCTTATTAAATGGTGTGCGACATTTATTTAAATCAATAATTTAGGGAAAAACAATTAATTTAAATGTATTTAAGAGTTTTATGTTGGAGTAGAAAAACACCAAATCTCGTCTTTAATGAACTGTTTTATTCAAAGACATGACGGATTCCCATTTAATACCTGCCACATTATCTACTGGAAAAGAAACAAACCAGGATATTGAAAACACACCACCCGGTACTTCCTCATACATGCGACACTCGAAGAGAAGAAATGAACCGACGCAGAATTTTGGCGAACCTAAAATGTCTACTCCTAAATGTAAGTGTTACATGGCATTTTCCGTAATTTAAGGATTAGTGTAAAGTTCTTCAGAACACTAGAAAAGAAATTTTCGGCTGTTTTTCTATTCCCGGAGCATATCTACGAAGTCGACTGTTTGGGGACAGATGGAGTAAAAATTTTTTATGCTTTAATTTCTTAGATTTTCTGGGAACAGAAATTTACAAAGAAATTTTCGTTAAGCTATAATTATTTGATCTGTTTGTATGTTTCAGCAACAGATACTTCGCTTCAAAATTTGAGTATAAATTGCATTTCATCAATTTGTCCGGAAACAGTTTCACCTAAGTCTATTCATGGAATGAATTTAAAATTCAATGGTCCTTTTATGACGCATCATAGAATGTCCAGAGTCATGGAAGAACCATCGTTAAGTAGTTCTGCTATCGACAGAGTTCTTGAGGTTTCTATTCAATTTAAGCTTCTTTAGTTCGACCTGAAATAATGATATGAATAGCGAGCATGTTGTAAAATGTTTTTTACAGAAGGAAAATTTTGACAGTGATGACGCACTCGTTGAAGCATTGTTACAAGCTAAAAGGCGACCTCGTCTGAAGTTGAAGTTTCCTGAAATAACTGCAAGAGAGCGGACTAGAACAAATGGTCTGTTTACATATTTGATGTTGGGATACTTCTAGGTTTTAGTAAGCCATGTCTACTTGCTATTCGAATTACCGTTCGAAAGAATTGGCTGCGTGTTATTATTGTCATTTGATACAAGAATATATTGCTTTTTGTGCTTTGAAAAGCTTTTTGTTTGCATTGAATCCTATAAGTAGGCAAAATGTTAATCAGAGAAGCAAGTGAATGAAAGTTTTTTATTTCAATTTTAACTTCTGAATGATTTCTCAGTTTGTTTACATCACAAGCTGAGATTCTACAGTAGTGAAAAGAGTGGCCTGTATTCACTGATGACATGACTGTTTTAGACCAAATAGAACGTTGTTTAACAAGACGTGAAGAGTCAGCTGATGCGGTGGACAGTGTGGATAAGGATTCGAATGCTAATGATCATAATCAAATGCAAAAGGGTTGGTGTCAACCTCTTTTTTACTCAATTATGAAAAGCGATCGCGTGAATCAATCATATCCTTGTATCCTTTTCCGCCTATATTTATAGTATGACTTTAAACATTTATGATTGAGATTGTCAAAAATATAAATCTAATCGTTTCAGTGGTTACCAGACATGACCGTTCAGGCATAACAAATAAAACAAAGAAGCTGAAAACTGTACAAAAGTTGAATTCATTGCGGGAAAGTAATAATGCAGGAGATGTGCCACCAGCCTTAAAAACAAAATGGAAAAGCGGAGGTCTGAAAGCGCACAGTGATTGGTGAGTGTCATGCAGCAGTGATATGTTACAGTTGTCGTTTTTAATATTTCAGTCGGCTCTGTTATTTTGCATCTGAATATAGTTGCTCAAATAACATAAAAATATAATAAAATAGTTTAATACTTTAAATAATTTTATTTGAAATCTGAAGCTGATTTCATCTTGTCAAGTAATAGAATATCCAAATTGTGAAGAATGAAACTGTATTAGTAATTATGATGTCGAAGTCTTTTTTAGAGTACTATAGTCCCTGATGTAATTAAGTAAACGCCACTTTTGGTTATTTAGTCATGTTCTTATATAGATTTATTGCAGTTCGCTTGCGGAAAGTCAAGGCAAATTTTTGTCCTGTGATCAGCCTTTTATTTATTTTGGATTTGTCGACGTCAAATGTCGTGTAAATCGAGCAGTTAGATTGCGAAATATCAGCTCAAAGTCGCTAAATCTTAGGCTACAGTTGCATAGCATGAGCAGGGGATATGAAGTATGTGTTTATCAGTCTCAGAGATAAACTTTAAATTACCGATTTAACATTTATTATTTAATGTTTATATGACAAAAATAGACATTCCTACTGTTCCAATCATTTTAATAGTTCAAGGTTTTTTTTTTGAAGTCGAAATATATTTTTACAGCTACTGGAACAGGACATCGTTGTGTTAAAATCCCAAGAAGTTCATTTGGTTCATGTTATATTTCAACCTCCTTTTGGAGCTTGTTTTCAAAATACTTTGATTATCAGAGTTCTCAATGCAGAGCACATTAATTATTCCGTGAGATCTTATTTTTTATTATTCTATTGACATTTTTGTTTCTTTTCCACTGCAATGGTATGACTTATCTAAAGGCCAAAGGTGAAAAAAGTCTAATAAGTATTTGGATTTATTACGAATTCAGATTCCTTTGATCGGAAGTGGTGGAGTTGCTGGTTTACGCGTTTTGACACAGTCTGGACTAACTATGCTGCGTGATGGCTCATTTGTTTTGACAACTCAAGGAGTTACAAATATTAGTTTTGACGTTGAAAATAAGGGTCTAAGGTATTCTATTTGCAACCTTCTTGCTATCTTTTTTATAAATAGTCTTACCTATCTTTTACAATTTTTTATCCCTACTTTTCATTTCAAATTTGTCCCTCATTTTACTTTACCGCAGTTAATATTTCGAAATGATTCTTGTTGTTTTTATAATTCACTTGGTTCCGTTTTAAATTATTTTCAGTGATCCTTGTTTCTCTTTAATTTATACCATGTATTTTGATTAAAAAGTTGATTTTTAAAGCTTCTTTAGATTCGAAGTATTCGTATTCAAACTCCAGACCAATCACTGAAATAATGTGTTTCTTTTATTATTAATTTTTATTTCTAGAGATGCATTTGTGCGTATCGTTGTTATGAATAAAGAGACAAAAAAAGCTGTTGGTCGATGCACTATTATGCCATCTAATTGTGTTTCCATCTTGCATCGCACCAAACAAGTGACTATTTCAAACTTTCTTTTCTTGGAATTTTCCAGTACGTAGAAGTCGAAGAGGGATTATCGATTTCAGTTTTTTTAATTTCTGTTTTCAGCAATTTAAGTGTAGTTTTAAATGTAAATATATATTAATGTTTTTCTTGGTTTTTGTCAGTTTATGTCGGAAGGGAATTTGTTAAATGTTATATTATAGAAGTTCACTATTGAAGTTCCTTCTTTCTGTGGTGAAGAAAGCAATGGTAATTCAAATCGTTCATTTCCTTCCTCTTCGTTTTCAATGCCGTCAGCAACAGGGAATACTCAATATTATGTCCAGCTACTGTGGGGTGAAGAGGCACAAAGACGCCGACTTAAAAGGTAATAAGAATTGGTTAAAAGTACAAAGATAATAAAGATAGTGGCAAGGATAGTAAGTAATGTATCCTGTAAATATTTGATTCAGTTTTCTTTAATCATAGTATAAGCCCTATTATTTGTTTGCAACAAATATTTAAACTAGAAAATTTTAGATACGAAGATATGAAATGTGCAAATTTTACTTTCAATGGGCATACCTTTACAAAGTGCAAATTCATAAATGAAGAAAAATGTAAATCCACCGCTTCCGAAAATATTTGTTGTGGCTTCCATGATCGCGATGCATTTGAGTTGGGATTGAGAGTAACTTTGATATCGGTATTTTAATATTTTCTTTTTTTGTATTTAGAGAAAAGAATAGGGAATTATAAGACAACAGCTCACTCCAGAAAAATGGTTAGATATAAGCATAAATCAAAAAAATTCTTTATGGAAATGATTTTAGGTTGTGGATAATCGACTTTCATTGTTATCCCGGAACAGTTATCTTCCGCAAGAGGAGATACTTGCTGCAAGTGTCATTCTTGAACCAAATGCAACCCTGTTGCCACCAGCAGATAGCAATAAAAGTATCGTCGAAGATGTGTCCACCATTTTTAGTGCTAGCCGTATCTTGTAAATTTATGAGCTTACTGTATACTTGTATGCTTGCCTTTACTGCTTTTTAATGAATTTAGTTATTATATTTCTTTTCATCATATTTAGCATTAGCATACCATAATTCACTTAGTTAGTTGTACTGTGCATGAATTATTTGTTGATTTTAGTTTATATCTCTACGTTCATTTATTAAATGCGCACCAACTTGGAGATCCGAAGAGATGGATCTCCAAGTTGGTGCGCATTTAATTTCCTGTAGTTTAATAACGTCTTATCATTTCTCTCAGTAATTTAGCTTCCTTCAAGCAATGAAATAAAAAATAAACAGCTCCCGATCAAAATTTATTTTCAAGCTATGCGTTCATTCTGACATTTCTATGCTATACGTTATTTTCTTATTATGCAAATTAATTTGGCTTTTACTGAACGTTTTTTAGAAATGAAATGCTGATTTAGATATTTTTTGAAAATATATTAGCTTTAAACGCATTACTGTCAAGTTTCAACATATTCATTCAGTATGAAATGGAATTAAACACTGAGTTGTATGCATGTATTATGTGTATGTGTGTGTGTGTGTGTGTGTGTTTGTGTGTGTGTTTGTGCACGTATGTGTATGTATGTGTGTGGTACTTGTGTGTTGCTATAGAATACTTTGCGAGGTCAAATTCATTTCCAGATCGCGATTTTTGATTGATAACAAATGGGTTGACAACTATGCAATGCAAGTACTTCAAGTCTCATCATATCACATATCTCCTTTAGTTTGATTTTAGATTGCAAAATGAAATTCCGCAGTGTGAAGTTGAAAACAGTTTCTTAATTCTGCTTCCTAAAGTACTGGGACTAAAAATCTTATCTAGAAGCTAATTAAATTCTGTTCATGTTCACTTTTCTATGGTAGATCCCATATGTAATAAAGACTTAGTAGTCTTAGCACCAACTTGCACCTCCAATGCTTCTTGAGCTAGGTCCACGGGTGAATTTTTGACGTTGTGATTTCCTCGTCGAATTGCTTTGTATTTTGGGAATAATCTAACCTTCAAGAGTTTCTAAAAGTGGAACGTTGATGCAACTATAACTGCGTGATTTTATAGCATTTATCGTGCAAAATGGTTATTGACACTCGTCGATCAATTTATAATTATGGTCTCTTCGGAAAGCAGTTTAAAATTCTTCCTTAATGGCGCAAATTTTTTTAAAGATGTGAAAATTTTTCAAAATATGGTTAACCTTACGCGGAAAATTTAATTGCATTTGAATGTCCTCTTTTTCTACTGTTAAATTCTAGTAGTTTAGAAAGCATTAAAATTTTTTTTAACACTGAATAAATTCATTACCAATGGTGGCTGCTTGGTCACCATAGGTATTTTACTTCCACTTTGAAATAAGCAGTATTCCCACAAAAGATTATTTTCAAAATGCTTCACCGTCAGCTTTCAATGGAAAAAACAGTTCTCGTGCTTACGCATCACTTCACAATCACACTTTAATCTTTTGTCGGATTAATGTTATTTCAAAGTTCTAGCAGAGAAAGAGACAGAAGATTTCTTTCAGTCCGCAAAGAGAAATGATTTTTTACGTGTAACTGGTTTCCTTGCAAATTGACAAATAATAGTTTTTCCATGGTAAATACCTTAATTGTACAAAGTTACTTCTTAAAGTTTGGAAGACTTTGATAGGCAAGGTTATCAATTTTAGAAGCAATGTAAACTTTTTAGCATGGGTCAAGATAAAAATAGCTTACGTGTGAAAGGGTTAAATTATCAAACCAATAGGCTGTTCAAACCTTTTTCTCAATTTTTGCTATTAAGAAACTTACTGCTGGGACATGATTTTTCATGTTGACTCTACAAAGAAACCTGAGGAAGGTAATCGGAAGATGACAGGAAAAGGTTATCCGGTGAAGGGTAGTGATGAGGTTGTATTTAAAGGGAGTTAACTGTTTGAAACTGACATTTATGGAAATCTCTCTCTTTGGAATCTTACTTCTTATTATTTTAGCGTATTTAATTTATATTCTCTGGTGATTGCTCATGAAAGTGGCAATTGTTGATGCTTTATGTTTGATTTAGGTCAGTGGGATGAGCCGATTGATTGTTAAAGGATTACCATCGAACTGTACTGAGGAAAAATTGCGAAATCATTTCAAAAGATTTGGCAAAATCACTGATTGCTCACTGAAGTATACAAAAGATGGAAAATTCCGTCGTTTTGCATTTGTTGGATTTGAAACAGATGGAAATGCGCAAAAAGCATTTGAGAATCTGCACAATACATTTATGGGAGCATCACGACTAACGGTAGAAATTATGTTCCATTTTTCTTTTAAGCTGTATTGTTAGAAATTGCTAATGTTTGCTTTAATAAACTTTTCAGACAATTAGAATGTTAATTTGTTTTTAGGCTAAAGTTGTAGCTGTTTTGGAATTGGAATTAGACTGCATGAATGTATTAAAATTTGAAATAGTTGGATCTGAAAGTTAAAAATTTGCTAGTAGTATTTTGCTCTTCTATTTCGATAGGTTTGTCCGTTTATGGTTGTCATACTCTTTTATTCAACATCAGGAAGTATTATTTTTGTTCTATAATTTTTTATCGAAATGATTTGGCTTTCAGATAGAAGAGTGTAAGCCATTTGGTGATGAGACAAAACCAAGGGCATGGAGTAAATATGCTAAAGGAAGCAGGTAATGTAGCAGTCAATTTAACCTATAAAATTTCTTTATCAAAGTTATTAACTGTGCGGTATGTAAGGATATGTTTATTTTATTATTCTTTTGCTTTTTCATCAATGATGTTGTCATTTTTAGTGCTTACAAACGTTTGCATCCTGAGGAGGAAGGCGAGAAATCGAAGGAGATCGTTTCAATAAAAAACAGTTCACCTTCGGCCAAAAAAATGAAAAAAGAAAATAATAAAGAATTTTATGATTTCGTTCAAGTGCAAAAGGTTAATACTTTTGAAGTGTTAATATTTTCTCTGTTAGAAAGTTAATACTTTTATCGTGTTCAATTATATTGAAAGTATAAGTATTGTGCACTTGAATGAACAAACTGGAGGTTCTCGGCAGATATAAAAAAGTAGATTTTGTTTTTTTTTTTTGAATTCTCGAATTTTTGATTTTTATTTTAAGGTGGTCCTGCTGCTCATTTCTGATAGTAAGCATTTAATTTCAAAATTTTAACAATTTTCACATATTTATAGCCTTATTTTCAGGGCGCACTGCCAATTGCAAGTAGCAGTAATGATGAAAATAACTGCAGTAGTCTAATGAAGGAGTTACTCTCTGGAATCAGTGGTAACTTTTTGAAATGAGCGAATGGTTGTTTTGTTGTTTATCAAAATTAGATTTTTAGTACAGTCCAAAATTTTGTTTTTCCATGTTTTTTTTTCCAGTGTACTATTTCCTGATGGTAATTCTGCTTATGCGAAGCAGGATTTACAATACAATCACTTAACTTAATTAATATTTAAGCTTTCAATAGTTCACACTGGTCTTTCTTAAGTTGCTATCACGCGACAGTTCCTTTTTTTGAACTTTCAAGAGTTTGCTTTTTATGCTGTAGTATTAATCGGCGGATGTTCCCACTTGTGAGAGGAGTAAATTAGGTTTTATTAAAAATCTGAAATTATTTCCTGATACTGATTCATTCGATTGTTTAAGCTGAAAAGTATCATTTTATGGTTTGTCATAAGAATTCCTTGGAAATTAATAATTATAAAGTGGAAATGTTAAGCAGAAGAATCCTAGTGTGCTTCATCTGAAATATTGGAAAAGAGGACTGCACCATAAGTTACAATTTTCATAAGTGTTGCGTATTTTTCCTGTGTGAGTTATTGCACAAATTATAGGAGACACATCATTATCACTTATAATACATGGTCTTCCGAAAACTATAAAAACGAAAGGAATTAAAGATTGGTTCAGTCCTATCAAGTTAAAGGGAGTAAAAATTATGCATGGTTCAACTGAAGCTATTGCTTTCGTAACATTCTTTCGAGAATCTGATGTGACAAAAGCATTGCGACGAAATGGACAGTTCTTAGGTGGTTCCAAAGTTTGTTTTAATGAAATTTATTAATCTTTGCTTTTAATTCTGTTGAAGTGCATTTGCCCTGTTTAGCAATGATGTAAAAGAACAGTCCACGATTTATTCTTTAATAGCATATAGAAATGAACAAAGGAAGATAAAAAATGAAAAAGATAATTTATATGATTCAGGTATTTTTTTTAAGCTGGAAATAACAAAAGTGCCAATTGATCGATTTTCTAATAGAAATATGGAAGATTATATTCATAAGACAAGGGAAGCAGAAATTGAAGCAACTGTGGCAAAGATCCTTGAAACTGGAAGGTTAATTTATTGCATTGTGTTTTACATTGCAGTCTTAGAGTCCAGAAGTTTGAAATCTCTTGATATCTTGCAAAAATGCTGCTTTATTCAGCTCTGAATTTTCAGGCTCTTCGTCCGAAACCTGCCCTATGTGTGCAGTGATGAAGACTTGCGGTACCTCTTTAAAAGATATGGTGAAATATCTGATTTGCAAGTGATTGTAAGCAAAAAAACGGGACAATGTAAAGGATTTGCCATTGTCACATATGTTTTTCCAGAATCTGCTGTTGCAGCATTCTCAGCATTGGATGGTTCCATTTTAAAGGTTAATTCTGCGACATTTTTTTTGTATCTGAATTTGATTATTAAATTACCTTTTGAATTGTCGTTTAGGGAAGAATGCTTCACATTTTACCGGGAGAAGAGAAGCGTGATGTGGAAGAAATTGGCATTACTGGTAAATCGGCGTTTCAGAAAGCAAAAATTGCAAAACTAAAGGTTTTTTTTTTGAAACTAAGATTTCTAAACATCAGCTAGCGTCTTACATCTAATTGACATATTCATTGGCTGAATCATTTTATAAAATATTTTTCAGAAGGAGGCTGGAAAATCTCATTCGTGGAATACACTGTTCCTTGGAGCTAACGCAGTTGCTGAAACATTGGCTGAAAAATTAGACGTAGAAAAAAGTGATTTGCTGCTTGGGCAGGGAGAAATAAGGTATATTTCTTTTGATAAGAATTGAATTCTTGACTCATAGTCCAACGGTGAATAGACAGTTGTTGTACTACTCTTTTATCAAAAAACAATCTTTTGGCATGATTCTGTAAATTAGCTGCTACGGTAATTTGTTAGATTGCTGAAATTGGTAGGGACGCGGCAAGTATTATATGATCAAATATGATAATTCATATTATAAACCACTTTGAGAATAGAGAAACTAGGGAATTAGGTTTTGTCAGATTCTTCTAAGTTATTTTATTGTAATTTAACAGTGCCGGTGTGCGTCTGGCACTTGCGGAGACACAACTAGTCAGTGAAACTCGACAATATCTGTTGGCTAATGGTATATGTCTGGATGTTTTTTCACGTCCTGCAGCAAAAAGAAGTAATACTATTATTATCATCAAAAACTTGACCCCCAAGGTTGATACTGATGAATTGAAAAGAATGTTCGCAAGACATGGCCCCGTAAAACAAATATTGATGCCTCCAGGTAAGCTGAAAAATGATATACAATGCAAATTAAGTATTATATTTTTTTCACGAGAAAATTAAATTCTTCGATCTTTATAGTTTTTATTCATTAATATTTCAGTAAGTGTTCTGCCAGTGATGTTCTTACTGACTTGGGCATCTTCAAGATTCTGTCTGACAATCGTGTCTGATATGATCATGTTAACTGAAGTAGTTTCGCACCATCCAATTGCTAATTCCAAAAATTAACTTCTTACAGGATTCAAATTTTAGAAGCATACATTTCTTAAAATCTGAATTATTTACAGGGGGTATCACTGCTATCTTAGAGATGGAAAATTCAGTTGATGCTCAGAAAGCATTTAACGCACTTGCGTACACTCGATTTCGTTCGAAACCGTTGTTCCTTGAATGGGCACCGTGCGATTTATTCAAATTAAGTTCGTTAATTTTCGAAGATTTCAGCTAAATTATTAATTTATGGGGAAATCAGTTTGTTTCAGTAGAAGGTTATTTTTTTAATTTCTTTATTTTTCAGGAAACTCTGAAAGCAACGATGAAGATAAAGATCAAAAACAAGACAATCTTGAAATTGAGGCTGCAATGAAAAACAATAAGTACTCAGTCGAAGACAAGAAGAAACTGAGACGAAGCAAGAAACACCGTTTGATTGAAGAAACCGTGGATGTTACAGAGTCACAAGAAAAAGGCATGAAAACCTTAGTAAACAATATAATAACATTCTCAACAGTGATGAAGGAAATCAGTTAGAAAATTATATACTACTGATAAATGCATTGATAGAATATGTAGTACTGATAGATGAAAATATGTACTACTGATTGATTAAAACATTTTTTTCTAATCCCAAATATTTTGCCGCCATATTTCAGCTTTTCCTTAAAACTGCATAATATTTTGGAGCAGTATACTGCTCCAAAATATTACATTTCGTTCCTAGTTAATGCAATAAAAGAATTCTTATAATTGTGCATGTTTTATACTTATTGCAAGATTTTATGAAAAATATAATTTGCATATTATATATTTAATAACAACTGATATACCATACCTGCTTTAGTCGCTATTAAGTTTAGTTTAAAATAAGATTGATTTATTTTTTAGTCGAATCGGCCGGAGCAATCAAGAATGAAGAGATAGAGAAAAATGGAGACGTGCAACAACAGGCCGATGTAGAAGAGGACATCGCTAAAATTAAAAAAGAGGACAAAAATAACGACACCAAAGAGGAAAATGACATACTATTACCAGAAACAACATTATTTGTAAAGAATTTGAGCTTCAGAACAACTGACGAAGGACTGAAAAATAAATTTGAATCACGATTTCGTATACGATCTGCTATTGTTTCCAGAAAACGAGGTGATTTTTTTAAACGTTTATGGTGCCATGGAAATAAGAATTTGTTGACGATATAATTAGAATTATTTCTTTGCTATTTTTTACTATGAAGTGCCACTCAAACAATACTTATTCATGCTCATAACTTTTTTCAGGTCCATATGCGAATAATCTCTTCTGCTTTAAATTATTTGTTAAAGAAAGACAAAGTTTATTTTTTTTAATAGGATATTTGTAATGGTAATAACTAGCAATTCTGGTTTTATTTTTGGTGAAGCATCACATACACATGTTTTAAATTTTTTAGAAACCATCTCTTTTTAGATGCTGCAGATCCTACGAAGGCACTTTCAATGGGATTTGGTTTCGTTACATTTTATCAGCCGGAAGATGCGCAGCAAGCTATTAAAGAAATGCAGGTTCGTTTGTAAAAGATTTTTATATATTAATTTTCGTAGCTAAGGGAAAATGTTTGGAAAATCTTTTGATTTTCAAAATCATAACTTTTCTGCTTTTATCTCGTTTATTTTATTTTAGGGTGTTTTATTGGATGGCCATTGCTTGATGTTAAAATTATCCCACCGAGAAGTTGTACCTAATAAGATTATAGCAAGGAAAGGAGTTGATGAGTTGGAGCAGGGAGATGCTACCAAGGTGATTTTGTTTTTAGTTGAATTTATTTATTGAATTCGTTCGCGTTAACAAAAGATGACCATAATATTCCCGCTTTTTTATTCAATTCAATCAATGCTTAGGAAGCTATTAACAAAACCGACTTTTGAAATAAATTTAGTAATTAATATTGTAAATTTTTCATGAATTTGATGTGTTTATTGTAAAATTTGTTGAAAATCAACAGATTAATGAGTAGATGGATTAAAGTGAATGATAATATAACATTGTGAATCCTGCCTAGGGAGATTGTTGTTATATGTTACATCCTCGTTTCCATAAAAAACTGTTGTATTGATATTCGGCTGGTTCATATTCAAAATTAACATGTGTGAAACTACTAGAATAAAAAGTAATGATTAAGTAAAATGTAGCCGTTCATATTGGTTTGTTTATTTCGTTTTCCAGATTTTGATCAGGAACATACCTTTTCAAGCAACTCGAAAGGAAGTCAAACAACTTTTTGCAACTTTTGGTGAAATTCGCTCTTTCAGAATGCCGAGAAAAGTAAGTTTATTTCATTCTTTGTTTATGAAAGCACGATAATTTTGTTGCCAATATTGACTATCGCTCTTTACAGAAAGAAGTTATCACCCGAGAAGATGCAATTCGCGTTTCTTACTGAATTTTTTCGTGATTTTTTAAAAACTTCTAGACATTTTATAATTTTTTTGATTCTTCCTAGACAGTGGTATCATCCTTTCAGTGTTTTTATTAATTCAGGTTGGTGCATCAGCGGAAGGTCATCGTGGATTCGGCTTTGTTGATTTCTTAACTCGCGCTGATGCACGACGTGCATTTAATGGTTTAGTTCATTCAACTCATTTCTATGGTCGGAGATTAGTTTTAGAATGGGCTAAGCCCGACAGTAGCTTGGAAGAACTTCGAGAGAAAGCTGCTGCTAATGTGAGGTAAGTAAGTCTCACTTTTTTACTATTTCGAAACAAAATTTTGTACTTTCCATTGAAATTTTGCGAGTGATGGAACTTTTCTTGGAATAGATAATATTTGATTAATTGGCAAGACTATCACTTAGTCTCACATAGATGTGTTGAATATTTTTTTTGCAGCAGTAACAAGCGGCAAATTCCACTGCAGAAGAAAATGATGAAAAAAATTGAACAAGATTTAACAGTGATCGATGATAACTGAAATTTGTGTGATAAAATTTTTATTTTTTGCAGTTTTTCTTGATAAATTAAGTTATAAAGATTGTCAAGTTATAAAGATTTTTATATTTAAACTTCTCGCAAAGTGTTTTTTTGTTAAGTACTTATTCCGTTTGAGAAATTCGGAGAAAGCAAAAATCGCATAGAAAAGTCTTAACTATAATGCGACAGTGTTTTTTTAAAGGGGTAATTTAAAGGTTTATGTTTCGTGTATGAAATAGTGTAATTAAAATGATAGTTGTTGTTAGTAAATAATTCATTTGGTTTCCGAGACAGTAATGTATTTACAGCAAATTATTACTTTGATATATTCTCTAATGCTATTTGAAGTCTTGATAATAGTATAATATAGGAAAGAGTGACCGTTGCACTTATTGCGGTTTTTACAGCCAACATGAGAGATCATTTATGCCAGTTTAATTAGTGCAAGTAATCAAGTGTAGTAATTTCTTATGAATCGCTTATGCTGTTATTGTTTATAAATATGGAATATTTTATAACAAGCTTACAGTATGGAGAACAATTTCCGATAACCTCTGAGCTCAGGAATAATTTATTTTAAGCATGCATTTTTATCATAGTATCTAGGAAATCTCTATCGTTAGAGATTGTATTTTCGCAACTTGGGCTGCAGATCGCATCATGTAAGCTTTTAGTACTGAGAATTGTTAGATTGGACGAAGTTCGAAGTATTGATGGAAGAGCGGGAAAGCGAGATTTGTGTCAAAATGATCAAAATGAATAGATGTAATAATCCAAATCTTTTAATTATCGTGTATCAAATACTCCTCTGATCATTTCAGGCTTCTTTTATCAACATTTGACTCTGAAAAAAGGTAATGAAAATGTGTATTTGATAGTTTTTTAAATTCTATTTAATGGCTAAAATATAACATTAAAGATGGCAGCACCACATTTAGAAAGTATGCATTTATTTTATACGAAATGCGAATTTCAAAAGTTGGCATAGAAAAATAAGTATTCAATGGAAATAAACAGTATTTTTTCGTTTAGTAGCAGTGTGGGAGTTATATTTGAAATTGCGCAAATCGTTGTTGAAATATCGACTGTTGGATATTTAAATGAAAAAGAAAGCGAAAAAGCAAACTTAAAAGAGCAGCAGTAAATAGTCGGATAATAATATTACTTTATGTTTTTAAATATTATATTTGATAGACAAAACTTAATTTTTCAACTGTACTCAGGGACGATAATGAATTTATTGCATTAAAAAGTGAAATTATTTGCTTAGCTGAAACAAAAATAAAAAAGTTGATTGCATGGGCTGAAAAGCTCAGAGATTTTAAGCATGTACTTTTTGAAACAAGAAATATGAGAATTGAGCAAAAGAAGATGATACTTACTTTATCAGTGATTGCTTTTTTAAATTCAATATATTAAATTTCATTTCAAAAAAAAATGTCATGTTTTTATATCATATAACATTCTGATGGTTATTTTCTTTAAATTTTTTTTTTACTGTAGAAAAAGAGACATTTTCAAGAATTGTTTTTTTTAAAACTTAGTTTATACACAACAATTAATGAACAGGAAGTTGAGAGAAGAAAGGAAGAAAAAAGCAAAGTGAGGGTTTTTTTTTCGTCCAGTGTAATAATTGTAAAGTAACATATTCTCAACTAGACAGTCACTTAACAAACAATCATATTGTTGTTTACAACAAAACAGCTGTGCTTCTTTTGAACAAATGCGTTCCAAAAAATGTTCATTCCTTCTTGTAACGTCGAATATAAACGAGAACTTTTCATGTATTATCTCATAAACGAATTTTTATTTTCAGCAAATTCTACAAGGTTTATAAAGTTTGTGCGAAAAAAAGAAACAAAACCACTTTCCTACTTTCTTTGTTGATCTATGAAAGATGAAATTACTGCACTCAAATACTTTCTTCTGGCAAAAACAATAAATTAATTTATCAATGATCACTTCATGTGATTCAGAGAGCAGTTTGTTGCACATATTACGTAAATATATTTACTACCTTTTTTTGCATGCGTGAAAATAATTTATAGTATGAGTGAAATGCAAAATTTATTGAATTAATTTAATGAAGATACTCACATTTTTTCCATTTAATTGTTATGTAAATGGCATGAATGAAATCAATGAGAAATGAGACTTTTATTTGCAATAGTCAAAGCATATAAGCTCAAATTATTGTTTCATGCAAATTAAAATTTTTAAATATTAATTTTGTTAACTAAAATATCTGTGATCATTTAAAAGTTTTGGATATTATAAAGTATAGTTTCTAAAAAAATCCATTATTTTTTTGACGATATTATTAATGAACAAAAATTTTTAATAAATTTTTCTGCAATTAATAAATTTTACTTGAGTTATTATTTCAATAAAACAATACGAAAAGGAAAAGAATAAATGAAAGTTTAATTTAATCTGCTAATTAATGGTTAATTTTCTTCTTGAAATATTGTTGCTTGTTAAAAATGATTCTGATGCAACAAAAAAAATGGTATTTCTAACTTTAATTCTATTGTTTCTGTTGGTAATGTTCAATTTATTTCTTTTTTTTCCAAAGTTTAAAAGAGTTATACAGTGATGAATATTTCTATCCGTTCATTCTATCGATTATCTGATAATGCTAGCAATGTTAGCGTTCAAGCTATCTTAACAGAATGCTTGGAATGAAGTGGAAAAAAGTTTGAGTTAGTAAGAAATTAAGAAGATTACTGAAGAAAAGTTAAAAAGATGGCGAGAAAGAGGAATGATATTGAAATCTCTATGATGCCTTCAAATTTTCACATTCTTTCTCATTTCTTTTGCTTCAATCTTTCTCATCATCACTTTGCTTCTTGATCACACTCAGTTTTTATTAACTTCTCTTTTGCATTCTTACCAATGAATTTACCGCCCACAGCTTTAGTTTAATTTTAGCCTTCTTTATTCATTCTATTTTCTCCACTCCGATCTCGTCCAGAACTTCTGGATTCTCTCTCTCTCTCTCTCTCTCACCGGATATATCTATAATGGAATGAAGGAAAGAAGTGGAATAGATAGCATATACCTCTATTACACCTACGCCTTTGTATTTTGATTCCTTCACCTATCGTCTATTTTGGTGTTGCAAAGCAGCCGTTCCTGTCTAACCCACTACTAAAGCTTATATTACACAAATTTTGGAACCATTTGCTATGAAACTGCTACCAGAACTACTCCACACAAACATAAACGCATCACATATAAATCTTCACCTTATTGTCCTTCTTCTTCTTTATCGTACTTCTTAGGTTATTGACATATCAGTTCCTACCACAACTCATTATCCGTACATTTCCTATTTAGCCAAAAAGTCTATTAAATTAAGCCTGAAACCATAGGAAGTTAATTCACCATGCAATTAACCAATTAACCAATGCAATATTTTAAGATAATAATTTTAGTTGTTAAGCAAACAACTCTTAGCACAATCCCTCATTTAATGTTTTTTTACAAATTTTGTTGTAGATGGTTCATTTTTATTGATGTTATTGTAAATTATAATTTATTATAATTTTTTAACTTTTGTTCAAATTTTATTATATTTAAGCAAATATTACAAATGCTTTTTTTGCACATAGCGATTTTTTAATAAATGGAAGTAGCATTAGTTATAGCAAGATATATAAATTTTTCATTTGCTGTTGTAAGTGAACCGTATTCTTTTTATTCTGTTCTATTCTGTCCCTGTTAATGCAAGCAGAGCTCTTTCTTAGCTGTAAAGATGCCTTGCTTTCCTCTTAATATAGCTCAGGTGATATGCTTTATACCTTATAATCCATTATGTCTTTTCCTACCTCTTACTTTTCCACTCTATTAGAGCCTTTGGTTTCACTTTTTCGGTAGTTTTGAAAATTTTAGTACTTATACAAGACTCTCTTGTTAATTTCTTCTCATTCTTTTTCTACTATGTTTGGAAATTTCATAATTTAATTTCTCAAAAATTCAGCGCTTTTCCACTTCCTGAACTGTTCAGTTATTGCTTGGCTTTGGTGTTGTCTTTTTTCCCTTTTCGTACGATATTCTAAAATATTTTCCCATCCAAATCCATCACTTTCACTTCAATTCATCAGATATTTTTCCCTATCTTTATTTCTTATCGTCATATACTACTATCCTTAGACTTTTCGATAGCTTCTTGAGTGTTTTAATTTATTAAATAAGATTATTTTATTTTGAAGATGAATTTTACAGTACTTTTAAAACCGAAATCTTTATTATATAAAGTTATCATGTAGCTATAAAAGAAGAGGTTTAGAGTAAACTGAGAGTTAGTGGTACACCAATTGAGGCACCAAATGTGGAAAATAACGTAACAGAAGAAATGTTCTGTTCATTCTGATAAAGACTCTCATGATACTGTAAAGTAGTATAGTGAGAACAAAGTAAAAACGATACTGATAACGAATAAAAAGAGAGAAGGTAATGAAGAAAGAATATTAATGAGATATACTGTAAGTAAATGATATCATGTAAGGTTCTCAAATTTAATTGTATTTATACTGAGAGCAAGCAAAGAATTTAAACGCCTTTTAACATTCCTTTTTTAAATAAATGCTTGCACATTTGCAAAAAACAACAGAATAATTATTTATAAATTCTGTCTTTCGCAAAAATTAAAATAAAGTGGAAAAGCTTTACTGGTTCCTATGCATTTTTACTCCTAA